GCTGGCTCAGGATAGGGCAACACGTTGTGTTGTGGTACAGAGGTCCCTATAAATCAGAAATAACTCTATAGATAGCGCCTAACAACAACTTGGTTTTGATGTTGGTTTTGTTAGGTGCTGTCTGGTTGGTTCCAATTCATAGTGACTCTATATACAACAGAACGAAACACTGCCTGGGTCCTACACCAGTCTTATGATTGAGCTCATGGTTGTAGGCACTGTGTCAATACATCTCGTTGAAGGTCTTCCTTTTTGCTGCCCTCCTTTATCAATTTAATATATGATCTATACTTTTCCTACATTGATAGTTGGAGGCATCATTCTTTTATATTCATGTCCTCTAGATAGTTACATTGCTTCTTTTTACAGTTGTCTTCAAATAATATAAACTCCTGTCATTCCATCACCTATAAAGCTGTTAGGTGCCATCGAGCTGGCTCCTACCCATAGCTACCCTGTGCACAACAGAATGAAACACTACACGGTCTTGTGCCAGCCTCACAATCAGTCCTATACCCGAGGCCATTGAGGCAGCTACTGTGTCTATCCATCTTGTTGAAGGTCTTCTCCTTTATCACCACCCCTCCACTTTACCAAACATGATATCCTCCAGGGACTGATATCTCCTGACAACATGTCCAAAATATGTAAGCAGTCTTGCTATCCTTGCCTCTAAGGAGAACTCTGACTTTATTTCTTCCAATACGGATCAGTTTGTCCTTTTAGCAGTCCATGGTACTTTCAATACTCTTCTCCAGCACCACAATTCAAGTGCACTAATTCTTCTACAGTCTTCCTTATTCAATATCCAACTTTCACATGCACACAAGGCAATGATGAATACCATGGCTTGGGTCAAGTGCATCTTAGTCCTCAAAGTAACATCCTTGCTCTTCAATACTCTAAAGAGGTCTTTGTATAGAAGATTTGATTTTAATCTCTTGACTACTGCTTCCATGAATGAACATTGATTGTGGATCCAAGTATGACAAAAATCCTTGACAATTTCAACCTTCTCTCTGTTTATCATGATGTTTATTGGGTCAGTTGTGAGGATTTTGTCCTTTCTTACTTTGAGTTGTAATCCACAGTGAAGGCTGCAATCCTTGATCTTCGTCAGCAAGTGCTTCAAGTCCGCCTCACTTTCAGCAAGTAAGGTTATGTCATGTGTATATCACAGGTTTTTAATAAGCCTTCCTCTAATCCTGATGCCACACTCGTCTTCATAGAATCCAGCTTCTCTGCGAGGTATGGTGAGAGGATACAACCCTGATGCACACTTGTTTTGATTTTAATCCATGCAGTATTCCCTGACCTGCTCACACAACTGCCTCTTGACCCATGGACAAGTTCTGAATGAGTACAATGAGTGATCTAGATTTCCCATTCTTCTCAAATTTATTCACAGTTTATTTTGGTCCACACAATTGAATGCCTTGGCACAATCAATGAGACACAAGTAAACACCTTTCTAGAATTCTCGGCTTTGGACCAAGATCCATTTGACATCAACAATAATATCCCTTATTCCACATCCTCTTCTGAATCTGGCCCTAACATCTGGCAGTTCCCAGTCAATATACTGCTGCAACAGTTGATAGAAGATCTTAAGCAAAATTTTGCTTGTATGGGATATCGATGATATTCTATAGTTTGAGCAATTTGTTGGGACACCTTTTGGGGGGGACGGGCACAAATATGGCTGTCATCAGTCAGTTGGCCAAGTAGCTGTCTTCCAGATGAGTGACTGCTTCCAGCACTTCTTCAGCTTCCTGAAAAATCTCAGTGGATAGTCCATCGATTCAGTGAGCTTTGTTTTGGGCTAATGCATTCAGTGCAGCTTGAACTTCTTCCTCCAGCACCATCGGTTCTTGCTTATATGTTACTTCCTAAAGTGGTAGAATTTTGAGTAATTCTTTTTGGTACCATGACTGTATTCCTTCCATCTTCTCTTGATGCTTCCTGCATTGTTCAATATTTTGTCTATAGAATCTTTCAAGTTCCAACCCAAGGCTTGAAATTTTTCTTGAGTTCGTTCAGTTTTAGATATGCTGAGCATGTTCTTCCCTTTGGGGTTTCTAATTCTAGGTGCTTGCGTGTTTTGTTACAATATTTGGCTTTGTTTTCTCGATTATTTCTTTGAAATATTTCTATCCACTCCTTGACTTCTTCCTTTCTTCCATTTGCTTTCACTACTCTATAATAGCAAGTTTCAGAGTTTCTTCTGACATTGACTTTGATCTTTCCTTTCTTTTCCTTCATTTTAGTACCATTTGCTTTCATCATGAATGATCTCGATGTCTTCCCACAGCTCATTGGGTCTTCTGTCATTCGTGTTCATGAGTCAAATGTTATTGAGACGTTCTTGAAATTCAGGTGGGATAGGCTCAAGGTTGTATTTTGGCTCATGTGGACTTCTTTTTATTTTCTTCAGCTTTATCCTGAACTTACAAGTGATGGGAAATTGATGGTAAGTTCAAAAGTCGGCCCCTGGTCTGGTTTTAGCTGCTGATGTAGAACTTATCCTTTGTGCCTTCTCACAGATGTAGTCAATTTGATTTTTGTGTATTCCATCTGGGGAAGTCCATGTGTATCGTCGCCTTTTGTGTTGTTGGGAAAAAGGTATTTTCTACGAACAAGTTGTTGATTTTGCAAAATTCCATCATGCTATCTGCAGCTTCATTTCTATCACCAACTCCTTATTTTCCAGGTACTGTTCTTTCCTCTGTTTCCAACTTTAACATTCCAATCGCCAAAATCTGTTTTAATTCATCTTGATTTCCTGCTTGATCAATTTCCTACTGAAGTTATTCACAGAATTCTTCCACTTCTACATCACTAGTTTTTGTGTTGATGCATAAAGTTAAATAATAGATGTATTGATTGGATTTCCTTGAAGGCAGACAGATATAATCCGATCACAGATAGCATGGTACTTCACAGTTGATTTAGCAAAATCCTTTCTAACAACAAATGCCACACCATTCCTCTTGGTTGTGTTATTCCTGGCATAGTAAATCATACAATTTTCTGACTCAAAATGGCATTGTCAGTCCATTTCAGCTCACTAATGCCTAAGCCATGGATCTTCATACTTTTCATTTTAGTATTGACCATTTAAAATTTTTCTAAATGCATACTTCACACATTCCAAGTTCTAATCATTAGAAGATTGTTACAGTTGTTTCTCATTACCTCGAGTGGTGCCCCTCAGCAAATGAAGTCTCTAAGGCTCCTCTCTTAGAGACTTTACCAAACTCAGGTCCCTATGGCTGATTTCCATCTAAGAAATCATCTCCTCCTCAGTCACATTTCAAGTGACCTTGGACCTGAGGGGCCCATCTGCAGAAGTAACTCCAACAAAGTTCTGCTTCCTTCGTTTGGGCTTTCAGTATTTGAAAATGCTTGGAAGTTATGCATAAGGTTTTTCAGTGCTTCACTCTCCAAAGTAGGGAGCCAAGTCCTTCTTAGTTGTCTGTTCTTAGTCTGGAAGCTCCACTGAAATTCGTTCAATTTGGGTGACCCTGCTGGCATTTTAAACACGGGGCATAGCTTCCAACATCACAGCAACACACAAGTTATCATAGTATGACAAACTGACACAACTATATGGAATACCTCCTTACTCCTCTCAGTGTAAAATGATAACTTATTTGTGTCACCTAAAAGTAGTCACTCAATTTCTTTGCCAATTACTCAAATGTATAATATAGGGTTGTTATGGGTCAGAACCAACTCGATAGCACCTAACAACAACAACATATATTTAGCTTACTTCAGATTCAGTCTGTGTCTCTTTAACAGTTACTGCTTCCTATAGTGGCTATTTATATGTATACACATTTAGCTCAGTGTTTGGATTCTCTTTTCATTCATCATTTTGTTGGGGGCTCTTACAGATATTATAACAATCCATAAATCATTTCTATAAAGCAAACTTGTACAGATGCTGCCATCATCAATTTCAAACATTTCCTTTCTACTTGAGCCCTTTGATATCAGCTCCTAATTAAACCCTCCCTCCCCCACCCTACCACCCTCATGAACCCTTACTAAATTGTATATTATTATTATTTCATACTTTACACCTTCAGATATATTCCTTCACCTACAATTATGTTCTTCATCTCCCTTGAGGGGGGTTATACATCCATCATTGCTATCACACACAGCCCAACCTGTACCCTCATGGAATCATTACTCCCACTACTGTTTCTGAGGGGTTTATCTATCCTGGATTCCATGCATTTAAAGCTCTTATTTGTACCAAATGTACATACACTGGTCTAGCAGGGGCCACAATAGTGGGAGGAAGAAGCATTAAAGAAATAGAGGAATGTTGTTTTGTCAGTGCTATACTGCACCCTGGATGTAATGTCCCTTCACCTACAATGGCTATATTTATTCTCTCTTACCTATTTCCATTTCTGACTCATTCATTGTACTATTCTTCATCACTTGAATCACTACTTCTTATCTTTCCCTATTTATGTTCAAGGCAATTTCTTGGCATTGGGGAATGGATTATAACTTGTGGGCAGGTTAGGGTGGGCAATTATGTGTGGTGGTGGTGGTATGAATAACAAAAAATAAATGACATACAATTATGATATAGACCCTTCACCTAGAGATCCTGTCTCACAGAAAGAATACATGATGCAATGAAAGGATATAAGCTTTGAATCTCAGTCTGATCCATACAGGCTGTTTGATGCAGAACATGACACTTCTTCAAATGAACCTGGTAATATGTAACTTGAAGAGTTACTTTGAAAATTAGAACATTCTATTTAAAGTTACTTGGTGGGTTATCATTAATGTCTCTACTTCTAGAGCTGATGATTTTGCTTTGGATTGGCTTTAGAGGCTTCAGTATAGTTACGTAGGTTTATCCCAGCCTTGTAAAGTGACTGACAATATATCCTGACTTACTCCTCATCTGTCAGGGCTTCAGTCTGAGACTCATTCCCAAATGACGGAGGGGCCCATAAAATACTTACCTCTTTTAAGACACTCTGAATAGGAATACTTCTGTTGGCTGCTGCAGAATGCCTCCTCAGCGTAGAAAATGGAATATTCCTCAAGGGTCTTGGCAAGATTGTAATTGGGAAACATCATTAATGCATTTAGCAGAAAGGTTCTGGTGGTATTTGAAATTCTAGAGTTGAGTTCTAAAAAGAGAACACGTTTCATTATAGGAAATGGATCATCAGATTTTATCACAGACAATGGGCCGCTCCTGGAAAACAAACACCCTAACGGTGGTCAAACAAAATTCAAGGCATGAACAATCAGATGATTATTTTTGAAGAACTCTATTTCCAAATATATTTGTTTCAATTGATAGTCAGTGATACTGTTTTTGTAGCTCATTGACGATTCTTGGAAAGTTTGGGGTTTGTTGCTTTTGTTAAATAAGTGCCCACATGATATGTCTTCCTGGCACCTGATATAAACAGGGAAACATATCCTCTAATTTTCTCATTTCTATTTCCAATAGATCAACTATTGCTATCTGCAAAGTAGAGGCAGGACATGAGACCAAAGTAGAGGCAGGACACGAGACCCTAATATGCAACAATGGATAACAGGGAATGTTCTTCTACTTTTGAGAGTAGAAACATTTCCAAAGAAATAAGCTAATAGGTAACTTCAAATAATGAATTGAATATGAACAACAATTTGTGAGTAGATATCTAGAGATAAGCTTAATTTATGATTTCTATCATAGAATTTTTGTATGAGCTCAGATTTTTATGAATAGGATAAAAGACTAGTCTACGTAAAAACATTCTTATAGTTCTAGGAGAAAGAGATGGGAAAGAGGTAAACCCTCTCATGCTAAAGACAACAATTCTGTTATGAGTAGATCGTAAATTGGTTTAGAAGTAATAATCTATCCAGAATACAGAATTCTAGATATTGTCAAAATAGCAAAGATTCATTCTACAGACAAGCCCTGTCTAACAGAAATTTTAATAATGACAGAAATACTCCATAACTGTTCTGTTCTATAAGCACATGTGGCTATTGTGTACTCAAAATGTATTCAGGAATGGAAATTTTAACCTTAATTTAATTAGATTAAAATTAAAATAGCCACATGTGGCTAATGGCTACTCTATTGTGCCACAAAAGTATTGAGTAAGACTTTCTGGTTTCTCCCAGTAGCCATCACAAATATTTTCTCACCTACTAAGAGTAAACAAAGTTCCCCTTGGTGAGGAAGAGAAATCTGACAAAAGGATGCAGCCTTCCTTAGGTATGTGTGAAAGAAAAAGCAAACAAATACTGACCATTAAGAACAGAATGTCAACCACTCAACTGGAAAGCCACTACAAAGAAATCATTCATCTCCACAGAATTTTAGAGATGGCTTCATTTGATATCTACTCTTTTAGCTTACGTCAATGTTCATTTTTCATACTTTTGGTAACAGTTCCTTAGGTTTTCTAGAACTTTTGAGTAATGATAACTTATTCATATCCTTGTATGTTTTAAACTTATCAATGATATATAATATCTAATAGAAGTGATGAAATAATTTTTCTTCATCTACTTCCACCTTATCAAAGGAAATACTTTTTTTTAAGTTCATTTTACTGGGGGCTCTTACAGCTCTTAGAACAATTCATGCATCAATTGTATCAAACATATTTGTACATATGTTGCCATCATAATTTTCTAAACATTTACTTTCTATTTGACCCCTTGGTATCAGCTCCTCACTTTTTCCTTTCCTCCCTCCACCTCTCCCTCCCTCATGAATCCTTGATAAATTATAAATTATTATTTTTACATCCTACAGGATCTGCTATCTCCCTTCACTCACTTTTCTGTTGTTCGTCCCTCTGAAGGGAGGGAGGGTAATTTATATGTCGATCATTGTGATCTGTTCCCCCTTTCTTTCCCCACTGTCCCCCTACCCTTCCAGGAAATAATTTTAATGAATCACCAAGATTGTATTTGTCAACTTTATGTCCCTTTAAAGATCTAGACAAGTTTTTCTTTTATTTTTCTAATCATATTTCCCTAAGGAAAATTTTAATATGTTTTTTGGCATCTACTGAGATGATTGTATGCTTTCCCATTAATATACTACTATGTAAAGTATATTAAAATATTTTGCAATATGAAAACGATCCTAAATTCAATTTGCTAATACTTTGTTTAGAATTTTTTAATCTATGTTCATGATTAAGCTTAATTTGTTATTATTTTTCATTATACTCTTCTTGTCAGTTTATAGGTGTGTTTTTATTCATTTCATAGAGGGGGTTGAGAAGGATTCATTGATTTTTTTCCTTTATCAATTGGGAAAATGTATGTGGTTTACCAGTAGTTCCATCTAGGCTTGGCATTTTCTCTGAAAATAATATTAACTATCAATTTTAATAACTTGAATGCTTGTAGGATGACTCAAAATTTTTAATTCTTCTTAAATCCAATTTAATGGGTTCCTTTCTCTTTTTTTCTAAAAGTATAAACAGTTTGAAGTTTTCAAATTTTTTTGTCATAAGATCATTTTGCAATATGCTCTTATCTGTTGTGTAGTGAAACATCTGTCTTTCTATATTCCCTGTTTATTCTTAATATTTTTTGTATGTTCTCTCTCCTTGTCCCACTAACCCACTCCCCATGTATTTGCCATTTTGACAACTTTATGAATCTTTCCAACAAGCTGGTTGGTAGCTTTACTTGTACTTTCTGTTGTAGATTTGCTATTTGTTCTTATCTTTATTTATTCCTTTTATTTTGAGTTTATTATGCTGTTTGTTTCTTCTATCATGCTAAATTGGATAGATGGTTAGTTATTTTTTGGCCTATGGTTTAGCATTTAAAATGTTATACATTTTCTTTCCAAGTATCTCTTTTGTTGTAGAATATATTACTCTTGAGTTCTAAATATTTTGTAATTTCAGCTATGATTTCCTCTTTGGCCTATTTATTGTTTAAAAGAGTGTTTTTAGAATTCTCAATTTGTGATCGTATTCCTTTTTGTGACTGATTTATCATTTAATTATTTAATGATCAATTAATGTGATTTTGGTCTTTATGATGTATCATTTGATTATTTTTGTCAAGATTTCTTGTGTGCTTAAAGAGATATATGAATATTTGGGGCTGTTAGTGTTGGTGGTAATTGTCATCGACTTGTACAACAGAACAAAATACTACCCGAGGCCATGTACCATCCTCACGATTTTATTGCTATATTTGAGACCATTGTTATAGCTATTGTGTCAATCCGTTTCATTAAGAGTCTTATTTTTCTCTGACCCTCTACTTTACCAATCATGACCTTCATTTCCAAGGACTTGTCCCTACCAATAAGATGTCCAAATCATCTGTGACAAAGTCTGGCCATCCTCATTTCTAAGGAGTATTCTAGCTGTTCTTCCTTAAAGACAGTGAATTTTGTTAAAAGTGATCATGTGAGGTGGTATCTCAATGTTGTTTTAAATTGTATTTCTCCTATTGGAAATAAACTTAACCACGTTTTTCATATGGTTTTTGGTTACCTGAATGTTGTCTTTGGTAAATTGTCTATTTATGTCTTGGGCCCTTTTTTGATTAGGTTATTTTATTTTTCTTAAGATGCTGTAGTTTTATATAAATTTTGAAGATTAGCCCTTTATCGAATGTTTTATTACTGAATATTTCCCCCCATGTGTGAGTTCTCTGTTAACTCTTGTGATGAAGTCATTTTCTGTGCATAAATGTTGTATTATTTTGTTTTCTATTGTGTGGATATTTTTCAGTATGTTTGGTAGTATGTTTA